GCTTAAAACTTTCTTCTACAGCATTCAAAGCAGAATGTGCATTTAAAAAACACAAAAACCAATGACAAAGTTAGTAGAAAGGTAGCAATACCTTGATGGTGTCATAGGTGTCAGTGATGAGTGTGATGAAAAGGCTGAGGATCATGTAGATAAAGAGTGACACGAAGGTGTAGAGGTAGACCCTGCTGAACATCCACACCAGGCTGTTCTTCTGCTGCATGTTCTTAAAAGTGGGAAACATGTCGTCTCCGTTGATCAGCGAGAACAGACACTCTGACACAGTGTTCAACGTCCGGAACTGCAAAGACATTTACAGAGCACCACGTGAATTTTTTTTTTCCCACTGCATTGATTTAAAAAAAGTTAATTTGGCCTCAGTAAAGTAAAGCAGGCCTTTTTTTGTGTTAAGTACAATGCTTGTTACCTTCTCATGATACGGGCCTAGGACAATCCAGCCACAAAAACAGTAACTCAGGTAAATGATTCCCGCGCAGCAGATGAAACGAATAACATTTGGGAAAGCTGCCCGGAGTGTCAGGATGAGGATCTGGAAATGAACACGTGCAAAAGTTTGTGAATCATTCTCTCTTTGAGAATATCTTCAAGTTTACTGGGTCTAGTTTTCCCACAACTGGCCATTCAGAGACCTTAAAGTATTCTGAGGTCCTATTAAGCTTTAGTCTTTCACACACTGCCATTATGCACGAAGACAATAAGAAAAGCTGCATCTTCTTTTCAGACCTATGAACAAATGGTTCTAATTATTTAACCCTTTCTAATGAATAAAAAAGGATTTTATACATGTTTAATCATGTCTGGAGGTCTATTAAAACAAAAAATCTACTACTGTGTGACAGATTTACATTATACTTCTTGAAGTATCCCATATAACGGATCACTCCTATCCAGACAAACATGGTGCCTGTGCCAAGGAAGATGCTGCACACATCATAGCTGGTGAGGACCTGGGAGGAAAAAAAACATGAGTGATGAACTCAAAAAAATACTTGTAGTATCAAACAGAAAATAATAACGGCTATCACAACTTAAATTACGAACTTGCTAAAATGTTATTACCTTTGTTTGGATCTCTATCTTGAGAAGGGAACCAATGATGGTCAGTGTGTCGCTGACGATAATAAGGATATACCAGCCGCTCACAAACTCTAACTTGTCAGACCACGACAGCTCTTTGCTGAAGTGTTTCCTGCAGTAACGGCTGTACTCCTGTTTAAAAGAAGAGACGTGGGTTGTAATTTGAATCACTAAAGAGAATTAATCACTACAGGTTTTTGTTTGTGATCTAAACGCAAGCACGTAAAAAAACTAATAAACAGAATAATGAAGATCAGATGATATTAGAACTGGATATTATTAGTTCTGAGAATGAGATATTATGATAACATATGTAGGGAGAATTTGAAGGAAATGAACAGGTGACACAGAAAGGTGGACACAATGTTCCCTTTGGTTCGTAGTTTTGGTACTGAAGAGTGGTGAGAAAAGTGTTTATGCAGGACATACAGAGTATGTGGTACAACTGGTCTGTGAGCTGCTTTTGCCTGTGCTGTTGTTGGTCCGTCAGTCAGCCGTGGAAAAGAGCGAATTTTCCGCGACCTGAAGTGTTAGAACAATGAAAAGTGCCCACTGCGTGATAAACGCATGTACCATCTGCTTAAAGCACAGGTGGGATTTTGGCGGAGTGCATGCACGATGGGTGAAAACCCCTCTCTGCTCCATGTCTGAACAGAAATGTGCATGCAGACAGACACATTTGTGGGGACTGTAAATTCTGCTTTAACCTGTACACAGCCCCTGTGCATGTGCAACCTGCTTTGCACCCACCTCTTATATCCTACCTCCCCTCTTTTCATCTTGCATCTGACTTAATGTCATATCCATTTTCCCTGATGACTGCTCTGCTCTGTTCTGGAGCTTTCTTTCCACTGCTCTCCTTGTCTCCGTCTTTCTGTGTCTGCTCACTGGAGGGTGGAGAGGTTGCAGAATACAGCTAGCTACTAGCTAGATACTCATTTTCCTGCCACAATAGTCATAAAGCTATATAAAAAAAACTAAAAAGAAATACTTTTTAAGTATAGACAAGTGTTACTCATCTAACCCAAAGTAAAAACTGACAACGGCAAGCTCTTATCTGCCGTTATACCACAGAATAACTGTTTTTTTAGTGAAAGCTGTCCTAAGCCCCTCCTACCAGCTGAGCACAGGCTGAAGGAAATACTTTTTATGGGCTGAGATAAGTCTGATTTGACTTCAGCAAGGATTAAAATCCCACTCACCCAGACACAAGTCCTCTGCTTAACCCACCCAACTGCTTAAGCTGCCACATCCAACTTCCTCTATAGACTTTCAGGACCCTAATCTGCTCTCTGATTGGCCAATATTACTCCCACTTCACTTCACTAGATCCCTTCACTTGAATTACAATATCTTTTTTTTCCAATGATGCCAAAAACATGTTGCCGAGCCTAGTCAGATGTAGAATCAGCTGTGAGCGTGAACATGTTTAAAAATGTTTTACACACAAGGCTTCTCTTGCACTTGTGTACACAATGAACTTAAATGTATCAGACAATCACAGCCTGTTTTAGGTCTGAGCAAAAGAAACCGCTTTGTTTTACTCACGAGCTGCAGCTGAATCCCAGTGATCACCGAGCGCGTGCACAGGGCGAAGGAGATGATGCAGATTATAATGATGAGGCAGTCAAACAGCACAGTCAGGTATATGCTTCTACCATCTGAAAGAGGACAGGAATTCAAAATGTTCATCAAAATGAAAAAAAGAAAATCTCCAACCAGATGATTTGTACAAACTAGAATCTGCTCATCTAACTTACATGCTCCAGTTACTTTCCATTGCCTGCATTCATTGATGTCTACTTCGTTTTCCAAATCAACCTTTATCTGGCCACTGTGAGCTTGGTTGTTGAAAGTGATCTGTTAACCAAACAGTCGTATTCGGAGAAGAGGAAAGAGTAAGCACTCCAGTCTTAAAGCCACACTTGATAGCCAAGCATTTATCTGCCTGGCCTCAAAGATAACATTCATTATATAAACAGCAGCTGCTGTGTGCCACTAAACTGCTCTAATTTGTTTACTCGAATTAACTTCAGAAATAAAGACTCTCTGTGCTTTGTTTAGGTACAGAGTCACAAGTAGTAACTGTCACGGTGAAGGGTTAGCGTTAGTGATACAGCACATCAGATACATCGTATAACTGCTAGTAAGAGTCAAAGTCTGACGTGATCCACTCATGCTCACGGAGCCACGAAGACAAGTCAAATGACATACGATAAGAGTGAAGTCGTAGCAATCTGGCAGCTCTCGATGTCTCACTGTCTGCAAATTTATTGCCTTGAGAACAAATGTAATCTTGACAGATATTAACCTGGAAGACAGAGCAGGCACATGAGCTGACAGCTGATTTAAATGCACATACAGCAACAACAGCGAGGGAGCAAAGTCAAAGAAAACATCGAATGTTGTTTCCGTACCTTATGAAATCCAACTTAAAATGTGGAAGCGCTTCGTGTACTGGCTGGGGATAAACTCTGAGGCACTCTAGTAGAGACAGGCCACAACACAGACAGAAATTAACAAAATAAACCCATTAGACCTAATTGGACTTTTTTATTTTTATATTCGATTCCATTGTCTATAAATTAAACAAAGTCAAATATGTTTTCCTTTTTATGCTGTTCAAAGCTTCCACTGTTTATTTCTCAAAACCACCTTCATGAGGTGTGTCCTGGAGCTTTTCCAGCGGTGCTGAAGGAGTTACCAAAAGTGCTGAGCACTTGTTGGCTGCCTTTCCTTCACTTCACGGTCCAACTCATTCCAATCCCAGACATCAGTTAGGTTTGGATTTCAGTGAAGGCCAGCGGTATTGATGCAGCCCTCAATCATGGCGCCAATCGGTCAAACACTCATTACAGAGCCTGGAGGCGTGCTTTTGCTGACTGAAAACAACTGATGTTTCCACTATACACTGTACTAGGGAAATACTTCAGGAGGCTGAGGTAGTCAAAGTGTTACCTTGAAAATAAAATAAGCCCCCAGCAGCTCCTTGATAAATTATCCTCCATGCATTTTACCTGACCTAATGCCCATTTACTGTGCTTCTTGGACAGATAACTTCTCCTGTTATTAGTCTTTCTCAGCGGTTTCTTTGGACCAATTTGCAATTTGTGCAGGCTTCATCAACTAATCTGAGGTGCTGTTAAGTGATGAGATTACTTTAAAGGTGCAGTGTGTAAAATCTCACCACTAGATGTCAGTAGACTGCAGATTACAGTCAACTGAATTCTGTGTTCTTACTACTTCCAATTCCAGTGCATAATCCATGCAACAGTGGGAGCTGTAGGATAAGTGACTCTGGCTGCCATTCCTCTGTAGTGAGTGTAGTCATTTAGTCCCCTGTTTATCTTAGCTGTCAATATGTGTCAGTTATCTATTTACTCTGGAAGAGGCTTCAGTTAGTTAGTTTTCTAAGGCAAACCCAAACATCACCAGGTGACTGCTTCATGAAGCTGGTTAGGTTAAAATGAAGGCACTGTTGTGCAAAGTTTATCATTTTTGCTAACAGTGTCAACATCATTCTTTGTAGTTTCAGCACCCTATTTTTTCTACACTTTAGATAATTAGACAATATAATTTTATATGATTACAAATTGCAAAAATCTTTGAGTCCTTGTTTGAGTCACAGTGTCCAATCTTTCAGTTGGCTAACGTGTAAATCAGTGTATTTTAGCAATACTGCTATGAGTCTTTCCTGTAAATATTAATCATGCTTACCAGTGTCCACATGAGCATCAATTTCAAAGGTCTCATTTGAAGGGTAGATGGTCCCGTTCCTGTAGAACTCCTGACACAGTAACAGCGGGGTGTAGACACTGTGCTTTTCCTCATATTCATGATTGCTTAATGTGATGTTGTGCAGAAGCCGATACTGGAAATGAGCAGTAGAAAAAGGTAGTTGACATTTTGCTAACATTTTGCCACAGGAGGTTTATGTAACCGACATGTTATTTAAAAACACATTTACTATATGAGCCATAATCAACACAACTAAAATACTGATTCAAGTGACATGACCAAAGTCCAATCCCATGACAAGCTTAGCCTGTAAGACGCTTGGACATATGAGCATGCAGAATTGTAAAATTCCAGCAATAATTAACAATAACTAAGGCACATGTAAAGCTGTGTTTTCAAACAACCAAAGTAAATCCATTTCACAGCTTCTCAGTTTATTTTCTTATTTATAGATTAGTTTTAGTCACCTGTTGAATGACGTACTCAATGTGATCATAAACATCCGCCTGTCTGTAAAGAGCATACGGAGCTATGCCTCCGTCCACATAATCTTTCAAGAAGAGGTGCTTGAACGTCATCAGATTTTCATCCTTGAAGGTGACAACCATCTGGTTGCTTAGCCCAAATAAAACCAGCTGCAGTAGGGAAAAATTATAATATAAATCTTATAAATTATAAATCTTATAAGGACAGTAGATCACAATAAAATGAACTGATCATAATTGCTTGGATCATGTTTGAGAATACCGTGTACCTGGATGGTAATAATGGCGATTTTGATGATCTGCAGTATGAGTTTCCATGGTTTGCGTCCACGAGCGTGGTATTTCTCGCAGGGGTTCATGAAGTAATACTTGATCTTCCTCCTGAGGCGCTGCACTTTTGCCCCGTCTTGCAGACACTGGGGGTGCTGGTCCTCCCAAGAAGAGGGGTCATTGGTCTCACGCACGTCATACAAGTCATCGGACTCCTCCATATCTAGAATTATTGACATCTGGGTGATATGCATGCAAGCTCCTTTATGAGTGTGTTTGTGTATAGTTTAGAGTTCATTTTACACTTCAGATACATGATGAATATTTTTAATGTGCTATACGGGATTAGATGCAGATTGTAACATTTTTGTCCAGCCTAGTGCTATTCATGAAAATTTAAAAGAATTAAACCACAGTCTGGGAAATGAATACTAGTCTTGATTTTTGTTTTGTTGATCCTTAAGAATGAAGAACAAACCAACATACTTGCCACAAGCTGAATGCATAGCTCTAGCTTCCACGTGATTAATGACTAGCTAACAGCTGACTGGGAAGGAAGGAAGAAAGGAAGGCAGTGACTTCAAGCTTACTGCTGAATAATACAGACCAGCTCAGGTTTACAGTCACGGTCGCCTTCCAGCATTGCGGCAACATGTCAGCTATTCATTACTCCTCGTGAAAGAGTGAACTCATATCCCGTAGATCCGGGAAAACAGTACATAACGTACATTAACAGATACTTACAGATATCCCGAAACAGATTAATCAACTTGTAATTGCATCCAAATGCTGCGGATCCAACGACGCGCACTCAGCGTCAAAATTAATATATTCCTCTCAATTAAAAATCATAATTAAAACTGTTGCTTTGATTAGACAATCGCGAGTGTCCTCACTGACTTCGACTGAACTTCTAAAGCACCAGACTTGTCTTTCCGGTAAACTCCTTTAACTATGTAAAATACCCAGGTAACTTTTAACCACTTCGCGAAACCTCGTTGAGCTGGAATGTGATTAGCTCGTGCGAATGCCAGTCAATGTTCTCCCGCCCTCTCTCTTGTAACCATTGGCAACCCAGCGGTTCCCAACCCACTGGTGAGCAAAAACAGTGAGTGCGAAGAAGATATCTAGAAGATAGAAGAAGGTATCAAGCCTATGCGGTGTAAGATCACGGTAATATTGATTCATTCTTCTGTAAAGGGGAAAAGTTGCACCTTTGAGCATAAAATAAGCTGCGTATCCAGTGTTCTTTTGATGACTTTAGCCCTATTAACTAGCTACACGACTAACTTAACGTAACTAGCCTGTAATAGCTAATGTCTTCTAATTTGTAATGCCTAAGCAAGCCCTAAAGAAAACAGGACGTCTGTAATGCGTTTATGAGTTATACTTTATAATATTAAATTGAGACTTACATATTCTGGATTATACTGAGTGATAGCTATGTGGATATTATACTGTTACTACAGTGGACTAAAATTAAACTGACTAAAATGCCATCCATATTTCAGGAAATAAATGAGACTATCATTAACTAGGAAACGCATAAAAACCTAAATTGACCATTGTCAAATAATACAAGCGAACTCAAAACGTAATCTATATTGAAAACAAACGTCAAAATGAAACAAAAAAACTTTTAGAAACTCCAAAACTGTAATAATATTTTATCTTCGTGAGCTAGTGCATTTTAAGGGCCCAATACTTTCCAGTTCCCTTTTTTGTGTGTTTTTGTTTCAGAAGGAAATATTAAGTGGAATAATGTTAGTAAATTATTATTGTAAGTGCACACCCATAGTTTGTTTTTAACAAAATGTTCATTGAAAAATATTTGAGCTTGTTAAACTAGATGCTGTTAGAGGATATATAAAGTTTCCTAATATTACACAAAGCAGTAAAAACGTCCTCTTGGCAGAATATATTCACATCACTAAACATTATGTCCAGTGGTCAAATTATGTTGTTACTACTTTTGATGATTAGACTACATCCATCCAGGTCACCAGTCTATTACAGGCCTAACAGAGAGAACCAGTTAACCTAACATGCATGTCCTTGGAGTGTGGGAGAAAGCTGGAGAACAAAGGAGAACAACAGACTACACATAGAAAGGTCATGGATATGCACCCAAGACCTGCTTGCTGTGGGGCAACAGTGCTAATTGCTGTAACTTTATGTTGCCCAATTAAATACATTTTACTGATATGCACAAAATATAACACAATACAATAACACAAGTGTCTAAGAAAATTTCCTCTATCACTGGTTGTAATCTGTATTATAATTCTGATTAAGACAACTACACAATAATTGTTATAATAATAACTTTAACATGTATTATTTGGGTAAGTTGTTTAAATTAATATAAGCATTTTTTCTCAGAGTTCACCAGCTTTTTTTAAGTAAGCAATGCAGTTCCCTTATCTGCCACAAGATGTCACCAGAGCTTTTGATAATGGCATCAAGATCGCCTGAGTGGATGAGTTCTAATGCCAGTGACAGTGGTGAAAATTAAATTGAAAATTGTGTACAGAATGTGTTTGGTTGAAAAGAAAAATGTGTAAACTTCCTCTCTTCCCTTTATAAATCTGCCCAAAGAGCAAAGATGGCACCCAAGAGGCAAAAAAGTCCTTCAAGAAAAACAGGTGTTAAAGGAAAAGGTGAGTCCTGGAGTATTCATTTCTGAATTTAAATGCATTTGTTTGCTTTTATTGTATATGTCTCTGTATGAAAGAACATCTTTCATACAGAGACATGTAAATAAAAGAGTAAACTGATTTCCCAGAGCCAAGGTGATCCTATAATCCTTGATGCTTTTGAATTGGCCATTAAGTTTACGTTGAGGGATTCTTAACTCATGGGAACTGAATTACTTTTAATTAGTTTTGTAACACAAATAGTTGAGAAAAAAAGCTAGAAAAAAAAGCTATTTGCATTGTTTTAATTTGGTCTTGAGTGTAATGTTAGACAGCACTTAGAGTGACATTGGTGCTTGGAGATGGGAGAATCACAGCTGAGTAGAAACTCAGCTGTGATTCCCCATTCTCAGTGTTTGGTTTACATTCACCATGCCACAGCTGAAAACCTGCTTACAGTTAAATACTATCAGCACATCATTTTACTATGAGGTGATGGTGGCATGTCCTTGTTAAAGATTATTGTTCTCAGAGTTTTTCTTTTTTAAAATATCCCGTGTTACCCATTCCACCAGTCTCCAGCTTATAGCCCCGACAGT